TAAATAAAGTGGAGGTAATGTAAGGCTTTAAGGGTATCTTATGGAATCAAACAAAAAAATACTAATAACCCCAACTGCAATCAATGTTGATTCCGACTCACAGTACCCCTATTAGACAAAGAACTGTCCAGTAAGGTTTCCAAGGCCTCAAATCGTTATGGAAGCAGACTGCAACATCTTTCTCCACAGAGCAGCTGGTGAGTTCAAGCTGCTGACCTTCCAGTTAGCAGCCGAGCACTTTAACCACTGGACCACCCAAGCTCCTTTCTTATGGAACCCAAAAGCAGGAAATGCAGACAGGCACAAAACACTGCAATTAAAAACTTAAAACTACCAGAGATAGCCATTCTCTTCCCCTCTTTTCTCCCTGGGATGCTTTTCTTTTTTTATTTTATCCTTGCTCTCTGCTCCACATCCCCATTCTAAATGCAGCCTCCCAAGACATCTTATTTTCCAATTCCAAATTCTCAGAATAACTAACTAACTAGCTTAAGTCTGACTAGCTATTTACCCCTACTGTAATCATCTAAGCATTCTACCCCTGCAGGCAGTAGAAAGCAGTATTCAGAAAAGGGAACATTAATTGGACAGATACACTAAAAGGTTATCTACTCCCACCTTTATTTCACTGTTGTCTATTAATTGTAGCCTTGGATATTTTGTAGAGAAATAAGTTAGAGTTCTATGAAAGCCTTTTTCAACCTTAAAACCACTAAATGCTATATATTATCTTTTAATCAAAATGAACCTGAAGATTCTTTGTCTAGTTCCTAGAATATCAAAATAGTATAGAACTCTGCATCAGGGAATAATTTATTCAAGAAAAGACGACACTTTTGTGTGCTTCATTCTTTTTATGCCATCCTTTCAGATGGGACACTCACTCACTGCAGGTATGTTGTGCACGGTCCATTTAGATTCTAAATACTCTCTTTTCATATTTGGCATAAACACATACACACAAACTCCCTCTCACGATGAAAGAGGAAATCAATGCATGAACCATATTTAAGCAACAGAAACCCCAAAGCACTGGCACCATCACTACAGCAAAGCTTACCATTTAATCTTCACGACTCTATGAAGACGGTTGGCTGTTCCATTTTTATGGGTAATAAAAACAAAGTTTCTAAAAGGTAACAGACTTTAAAAAAAAAAGAAAAAGGGTAACAGATTTATCTAATATCGAGTATCTAGTATGGAGCTTAAAGATTTTGAAGACAAGAGGCAATTAAAAGTAGGGGAAGGGGAAGGGCTGATAGGAGGAGGAGCTTCTCCTTTCAGTATATCGTTTTTAAGACCAAACAACTATAATTTAAATATACAACCAAATGGTATGAATGAATCATGTTGACAATCCACCATGCAGCTTTTAAAAAACATACTTTAGAAAAAAAATCCCATTATGGAGAAAAGGCTTATTTTGTAACTTCAAATGACAATAGGAGGAAATAGCTTTGTATATCCTCTAAACCATAATTTTGCTATCTATTTTTGAAAAAGGGAAACAATTTAAACAATGGTTCTTTCTGGGTAGCTTAGAGGTCATTTTAATTTTTCTACTTTTATTTTAATAGTAATTTAAAAAATTACTTTTAGTCAGAAAATGTTTTCCAAGACCTTCCTCAACAAAGCATCTGCCCATCCTCCCTTCACTAATAAACTTATATTCTGTGGTATCTCCATAGCTGCTTCTCCTGTGCCCTCAACAGACCAGTATGACTGTCATACTTTCATTGCTTACGAAGATGAGAAGGCAACTCCATATTGCCCAAATCAAGTCTTCTCTCACTCTTAAACTGACTTAACCTCTGTACTGCATTTGACATTTAACACATTGGCACTTCGTATGGCCTTCAATAGAGTCTTCGGAAAGGCTCTTCCTTCTTCACTAGTTCCTTAAGTGTGGCTGTTTTCCAAGGTTCAAGTCCCTTAGTTCACAGATTCCAATGCAGTCTTGACACTCTAGACACAAATGAATTAACAAGTATTTTTCTAGGGAAAAAGCCCATGATCCCAACAAGATTAGGAATCACTGATAAAGATTAAATTCTGAACTTTACGATTTGACAACCTCTCCTCCACAACTTTTTCCACTCTCTCTCACACAAATAAATTCCTCTACCAATAAATTCCCGTTATTGTTGTTGTTGTTACGTGCCATTGAGTGAGACCTCATAGTGACCCCTCCTTGGGTTTTCGGAGGCAGTATCACTACGGAAGTAGATTGCCCCATCTTCCTTCTGAGGAGTGGCTAGTGGGTTTGAACCGCCAGCCTTCTGGTTAGCAGTCAAGTGCCTTAGGCACTATGCTACCAGGGAGCCTATAAATTCCCCTCTCATTCACAAACCACAGTATACTTCTACTAATGCCATTTCCTCTGCTTAACAGCTCACCAGTCTCCAGGCAAAATTTCCCTCTACAGCACTTTGTATTAGTCTATATTTACATTATTTTTAATCATACGCAATCTGTGAACAAAGGCCAAATCTATGTATTTGTTTCCCCAACACTAAAGAAAAAGGATGATGATTTCATTAAAATAAGAAATTCTGTTCCCCAAACACCAACTAACTTGTTTTGCACTGTCAGACAACAGACAGACTACTCATTCATGGTAACAAGTTTTAAAGGTACTAATTAGTAAAGCAAACAATTCCTTAACATTAAGAACAATTCTGGTACCATAGTGTCTAAGGCACTTGACTGCTAACCAGTAGGCTGGCAGTTCAAACCCACCAGCCACTCCTCGGAAGGAAAATGGGGCAATCTACTTCCGTAGTGATACTGCCTCTGAAACCCAAGGAGGGGTTGCTTTGAGTCGGGTCCGACTCGACAGCACATAACAGCAACAACAAGAGGAACAATTCTTAACTTCACGTAATTAAAACTGAAAATCAAATGCCCAATAGCAGGTAACGTGAGCAACAACATGTCAACCTATATATTTTAAGGCCAAATGCTATTAATAAATTGAAAAATCATTTATGTAACACTCCCAAATTTCAAACCATATTTAATTGGGAAAAAAAAAAAAAAGCTTTATGCAACAAAAACTTTGGAATCCTCACTAGGCAGTGTCAGGATTTGAACAGTAAGATGTCAAGGGGAGGCTTGCATTATTTAAGTGATTCATTGGAGCAGGAGTAGTGATTGGAGCAACCTGAGGATCTGTTTCAAAATACACTGCCCCCCCCCCGAGATGCTGATTTAGTAAAACATTATTGGGCAGGCCCATGGATTTTCTAAAATGCTTCCCTAGGCATTTTAACTACAGTACTGGTTAAGAACGTCTCCATACAAAATGTTTGACATGCTTTCAGCTTATAGGTGTATGTATTATCAAGTATCTTAAGCATTTTCACTACTTTGAAAGACCAAAATTATTTACAAGGCACTTGCAATAAGTGTAGCTCTTTTTAATGGTTTGTTTTGCTTAAGTGTTTTTTGCTAATTGAGCACTTCGAAGTCATTGTTAATTTAGAAAAAATGACATTTTTAAAGTGAATTTTAAAAATCTGAGTTATACAGAGTATAGACCTATAGTCCACTAGCATGAATATGTGATAAATAAGAATCATTTGTATGTAAATATACTGAATATGTACCATAAAAAAAGCAACTGACAAGATACTTATTAGTTCAAGAGTATATTTGAGCTTAGAAATATTATACATAATACTACGAAGAAATTTTATTTATAGCTAGAAAAAATTGACTTGAGTAATTCTTCAAATAGTCTCTAGCATGTATTTAACATTTTTAATATAAAAATATTTAAAATCACCTGCAGAGTCTGCATACTAATTTTGACTTGTTAGGTACTGTAGCAGAATCGCAATAAATCTTAAAAACTTAATTTTCAAGACTTACTTTCTTCATTGTGTTCATGCTCTAAGAACTCTTAAATATCCTTGGAAACCCATGGATTAAAGAAAGTTCTCTAAACTCACTGTAAAAATTTCATTATTATTTAAAAACAGTTCAGTAACACTCCTTAAAAAGTTTTACCTTTTGACTTAATGAGTATTTTGCTCAAGTGAGCAACCTCCTCAACACAATCCTCAATTTAAAAAAAAATTATATAAATTACCTAAAGAAGTTTGAAGATTCAACCTCTAATCCTTATAGAACTTCAGAACATTCCACTGATGCACTTCTGTAATTCCAAGTAATAGTTCCTATTTCACATCACACACTTAAGTGCACATTCAGAAAAATTCTGTCCATATGCATAACTCTAGAGTTGTCCTATGCATTCAAAGATATTACTGATAGCGTTTATTTAGATTGAACCTAGAAAACAGACAATGGAACTCTTTACCTCCATTGTACACATATAAAAAAAGAATTTAGTTTTTACTTTAAAGTATCTAAAATACAATCATATTTTGTTTTTCCTTTCCTTCTATCTTATGTTTATCATGATTAACTTGCTGCCATTGAGTCGGATCCAATTCTTGGGTTTCTGAGGCAGTATCACTACCGAAGTAGATTGCCCTTTCTGAGGAGTGGTTGGTGGGTTTGCACCTCCAGATTTCTGGTTAGCAGCCAAGTGCCTTAGGCACTATGCTACCAAAGCTCCCAGAAATTCAAAACAACCTTTTCTATTAATTTTTGCCATGATTACCAAAATATGGCTTATCTCTTCTTCATTACATTCAGGTTTTTGAAAAATCAAAATATTCTTCATTGTCTTAACGGGAAAACAACAAAAAAGGGTTTGCAAACAGCATTGATAAAACTGATGAGTCAATGCAGGTTAAGGGCTAACATCTGTTTTTAAAAATTGTATCTAATAACCTTGCTCTTAGGTCAAAAATTAGTAAGCTGTCAACGGCTCCACACATCCCTTTTGTAATAAATATAACTGTTTATAATAATTTTAGTGTGTGATACACAAAACATCAAGAATCTGAAATTTAGGCTGAATTGAAAGGCCACACATTTTATCCCATACCACTGGAATATTTTAAATGCATAGGAATACAACAAACTCAAAAGAAAAAAAAATAGTGTTTTATTAACTACCACACTGTTATATAATACACTTTTAACGTACAATAAGGTAGCCTTTAAATTTGAGGTGGTCTTAAGAATAACAAATGAACAGAATTCCAAATTTTTGAAATAGGTGAACTGCTGCAGTTATAGGTATACATTTAGGAAAATCGTATAGCTCTTACAAGTCCAGCAATGTAACTTTATTTTGTACATTTTAATAATCGAAAATATAAACAATAATTAAAAGATAAAAAGAAAATACAGAATAAAAAACATGTTTCTCAATTAAATGTACTGGATACATATAAATTTTAAGGGAAGAAGCAAAAAAGAAAAAACAGTTGATATTTAAGTGCAGACTGACTACCTAGACCAAAAAAAAAAAAAAAAAAGATGACCTTAAAAAAATATCATAAAACCTCTAGTTTTCTATGACTAATATCCATATGGTTGGAGTATCGTCACTATGGAAGTGATTTTGTTATATTTGCATATGTTATTATACTTTACTGGTAATTTACATGATGGCTTTTAAGGCCCTGGCAGACATATATGGTTTTTGGAAACAAGATTGGATAAAAATCACTGCTAAGACGCAATACACCTTATTTTTTTGGTCCTCCAATATTCAAGAAAAGGGATAATTCACTGTAACATTTTTCTTACCACCCAAATGCCTCAACCTATACATTTTAAACTTTTTAAACATTGGTTATATTGCCCAACTTCGTTATTGAAAGAATATTAACAAGACATTATTTTGGCAAATTAAATCTTAAACATGGCTTTTCAACAGGATTTAAAAGGTGACTATTCCTAGAGTTCCATGTTAAAATGTAGTTTTCAAAATCTTACAAGAGTAATGCTTAAAATATTGTACATAGTTAACCTAATTAAAATAATTAACTTCAAAATGACAAATTGATAAGCTAAGTAAAGCCTACACTATGTAACATTTGCTTGGAAACTTGATTTGTCAGTTATGCATAATAAAAATTCCAGTCATCAAGAAAATTACAAAAAAATTTTTTTATCATAACATGATTTCTTTCACCCACCAACTTTTTTTTTATCTTACAATAGATAAATACCAACATGTTCTCATTTTTACACTAAACCACACAGGATTGATGCATTTGGTTAGACTACCATTCGCATTGTTAAATTCAATTTTCTCTTTATATAACTTGGTAAAATTTCATTTCTTCTAGATTCCAAAAGTACCTACAAAACCCATGCAATTTTACCATTTTTAATATACTATGGAATATCATACAAAGTAAGGCATTTCAGTGTCATGTATAACCAAGTTACTGTCAATCCAAAAATTTTTGCACATCAATAAAAAGATATCTAAGAACTTAGGAACAATATTCTTCTCACTACTGTATAAAAATAACCACAATGAATAAGTATTTGTGTAATATTTACTCCATTGTCTCATTTCCAGAAACTGTGACAAGCTGTAAAGGTATTTCAGTGTTGGTAAGGATATCTTGATTGCTGGTGGCGGAAGTATTAACAGTTCCTATCCCTGAAACAGAACCTTGTTGAATATTTGCAAGGATAAGTGTTGTTCCTCCTGCAGTAATCAAAGTATCATCTCGTGCAGCTTCCACAGATGCCAGCACTGTACTACTAGAGTGAATACCTTTTTTATTCTGATGTGTTTTAATATGTTTGGCAAGGTGATCACTTCTCATAAAGCGTTTCGAACATTCTGGGCAAACAAACTTCTTCTCACCTGTTAGGAAAAAAGAAAAATAAGTTATTTTTAAAAATTCAACATTAATAAACTAACCATCCTCTAAGACAGAAAGTAAGCCAATACAGATGGCTGAAGGAGGTCCATTAAAATTATATTAGGCTCATAAGCTGCCCCAACAAGTTCTCACAGGATATCACTTCCTCAAAATAAATCTGTCATATTTATTTTTTGAGGAAAATCAATCTTCAGAGTTACTAAATGTATGGATTGATATTCAAATAAGACTTCAACGCCTCAACTATGCTAAATGTTTATTCTGAAACACCTGTTACAAGATACCAGTTTTTAAATTATCATCTCTAATAACACTAACATGCCATATCCATGATATGAAATCTTCAACACTTAAATGTGAGTTCAAGTAACTACGTAAACAAACCAAAACCAAACTCGCTGCACTGAGTCGATTCCGACTCACAGTGAACCCCTTTGGGTTTCTGAGGCAGTAAATCTTTACAGAAGTAGATTACTCAGTCTTTCTTCCGCAGAGTGGCTGGTGGATTGGAACCACCAAACTTCTGGTTAGCAGTCAAATACCTTAGGCACTGTGTCACCAGAGCTCCTAAGTAACTACACGGAGTACTTCTAATTAAACCAAAGAGAGAAGCTTGAGGTCCAGTAAGATTTTAGTTATCCCAAGAATAGTAAAGATAGCTAGCTGACATGATTTCATCTGGACTAATCAAGGGCAAGCCTAATGTATCAACATATTGTTAAAGTTAATAATAAGACCCTGGTATCTAAATTTATTGCCCAGCATGAATAAACTATTCTTTTAAAAGACCTTTTAAATATGGAAGACCTACTATGCAAGAGAATTACTGCAAGAAAAGGAAAATACCAACCTAAAAGGAATCCAGTAAGAAAGCAATCAATAAACAAATCTAATAAATATTTCAATTATTTTCTTCAAAACATCTTATGTATCTCTTAATCCAGCACCTCTACTCAAAATAGGTCAACAGACCTCAAGCCTGAACTATTGCAATACTATTACTCTTTTCTCTCTCCAAACCAACAAGCAATGCCTGACAGATTTTCCTTAAGTATGAAATTCTATTAATATTACAAAACTCTACCATTTTACTAAGTGATGTAGGAATGCAAGAGTAATTTGTAGACAACCTAATAATTTAGATACTCCCTGCCTAGCTTACAATGTGGCACCGTCCTAACGCATGCCTAGCTTACAATGTGGCACAGTCCTAACTCAACACAAATATGTAAAATTCCGTCTTCACTCATGTTCTTATGATTACAGAAGGGTTTCTCACCTCTTCTAGTCACATGTAACTATTTTCCTTAGAAAGTGATTCCCAAAGTTTTGCTTAACCCATCAGTCCTGAGAGATGCTCCATGACAAACAGCACAAGGACTGATCCAGTTTGGAAAATGCTACACAGATACACACACACAACTCTCTCCCACTTAAGAGATTCACAAACCTCATTAACATTCAATTTAAGGTCTTGACTGAGATATGAAGCAGTGAAAGGACCTGTAAGCCTCTTCAAGTCAAGGCTTTCAAAACTTATTTGATTATAAATCTTTTTCCCCTTTTCTGTTATTCTTTTTTACATCCTGCTGGATCAAATTCTACTGAGGGAAATACTGTTACAGGACCATCTAAGGGCTACTATACAAGCCTACCATCTTCTTTGTCTGACTACACACAACAGTACAGGCTAAATCACAGTATCTTTTACTTTTTTATACTGTTGGGTTCCATTTCATGCAGGTAAACTTCATCTGTCTAACAACCTGAATAAAGAGACAGGAACTAAACAAGTAGAGCATCTGTGTACTACTCCATACTCCTTATTATTTCACATAATATTTAAATGCAACTTAGAAGGTGTGAGAGCAGCCAAAGATGTGAGCTTATTTGCTAAAGTTAAGAGAACTTGGATTTCAATCCAGATCTGGTAGGTTTAAAAATCCATGATCTTCTTGATTTAACCATGCATCTTCCTTCTAAGCACCCTCTCTCTCTCACTGCCATCAAGTTGGATCTGACTCATAACCAACCCCTCCCTTGGGCTTCCAAGGCAGTATCTCTACAGAAGTAGACTGCCCAATCTTCCTTCCCAGGAGTGGCTGGTGGGTTTGAACTGCCAGCCTTTTGGTTAGCAGTCAAATGCCTTAGGCACTACGCTACCAGAGCTCCTTCTAAGCACTGTTGTTGTTGTTATTTGCCGTGGAGTCAGACCCAACTCATAGCGACCCCTCCTTGGGTTTCTGAGGCAGTATCACTACGGAAGTCGACTGCCCAATCTTCCTTCCCAGGAGTGCTTGGTGGGTTTGAACTGCCAGCCTTTTGGTTAGCAGTCAAATGCCTTAGGCACTATGCTACCACAGCTCCTCTAAGCACTCTAGGGACTGCAAATATATTATGTATTTTCAATTCTCCAATGTTAAGCATAGACCAATGAACACCTTTATTTATTTTCTCCTGGGTATCAGGAAAAAAATATCTCTAAGTTATATTAAGTTTGACTTTAAGCTCAGTTAGTCCCAGGTCCTATTTTTATATAACAACCACGTAACACTAAGCTGAAAACAATGAGATGAAAGAAAGAGTCTTGACAGCAATGATGCCTAGGTTATTCTTCAATGAAATGGAAGTAATGTCTTTCACTTACCTCAGGTACTAAAGCAGTGGAAAATGTAAAATGTGTAAATTTATCAGAAGAAAATGGATCACTTTTCCTGTCAGTGTTAAAGCAATGGAATAAAGAATAGGAAGGCTCAAGAGTGAAAGCAAACAACTAATTAAAAATATTAACAGAATAATAGCATATATATGGCTCAGCACACTTAACAACATCAACAAAAGCTAACCAAAGTCTACACAAAATAAAACTTTATGAGCCATGACAGCTTGTTCTTTAGAATTAGTTTTAAATATTATTACTCAGCACGAAATTTTAATGTAATTACTTGGTTTTTTGTTTTTTTTTTTTAATTAGTTCATTTAAGTATGCTAAAATCTCAAGGATGCATATAGATCCCTAGGAGCTCTGGAAGCGTAGTGCCTAAGGCACTTGACCTCGAACCAGAAGGCTGGCAATTCAAACCCACCAGCCACTCCTTGGAAAGAAGGCTGGGCAACCTACTTCCGCAGTGATATTGCCTCGGAAACCCAAGGAGGGGTTGCTATGAGTCGGGTCCAACTCGACGGCACACAACAACAACAAAAACAACATATATAGTCCGACAACATTCATTTTAATCCATTAAAAGTTAAGTATCAGTAACCTGTATGTGTTCTTCTGTGCCTCTGTAATTCATCACTTCGAGTAAATCTTTTACCACAGAACATCCAGTTACAAACAAAAGGGCGCTCCCCAGAATGCCAACGCAGATGAGCTCTCAGATGTGAGGTCTTCCCATAGACTTTACCACATCCTGGTATATGACAAATGTGTTGCTTCTTTTTCCCAAGGTTGGTACCTCTGAAAAACACACAGAGAACAATATATTCTTACATGAAAATATTCAAATGGTCATTAACACTTTATCATATACCCTCATGTTGAATTTCAAAATAGGAAAAAACATGAGGGTCAATCAGAAACCAAGACCATTTTTAATCAATTTAAATGAAACCCATGTATTTCAAACATAGCTAATATTTTACTTATTACTTTTACCTAAGAATCAATATGATATTGCTGTCCAGATGTAAATATATATAAACACTTGTTATTAAAATGACATTTCCTACATAAAAGATGTATAGTTATTTACTAGTCCATCAGAACCATTCACAAATTCTATGCATAGGCCCAATCCAACTAAGGTGTATGGGAACTTGAATGATCTTTATCTGAAAGTTGTGTTGTCAGCTAATTAAAAAAATAAACCAAAGACTGAATGCATAACTGACCAAAGGCACAATTTCAAGTTAGACAGGTGTCTTAAGCAGACTTTAAGTTAGCACAATAAAAGCCTATTTATTTGTATGGCCGACCTCTGAATATACACTGACTTGAATCAAGTTAACAAAGAAATCTAGCTAAAGCTATGGCCTTCAGCACTATATAAAATAGGTATAAATCATAATTATGTATAGTTAAAATTTCCTTCAGATTAATTATGCATAGATATCCAAATTATACACCAGAGTTATCTGAATCACTTCAACATTGTAAGCATATTAAAATTTAGTTTTCTCCACATCTCCAAATCTGACACTTCTTATATTTCAGTACTTGATACCCAGAACATGGTTTGGGAAATATATGCTTAGATAGGTTAAAGAAGTATCTTATTTTAAGCAAGAAGAAAACTTTTGATTCCAGAACTGATAAGCAAATAGTATTACACAGCTTTGCAAAATATTATTTCTCAGGCTATTAAAAAAAAAATTAGGCTACGTACTGAATAAAATGAATTTTTAGGAGCTCTGGTAGCATAGTGCCTAAGGCACTTGACTGCTAACCAGAAGGCTGGCAATTCAAACCCACCAGCCACTCCTCGGAAGGAAGGTTGGGCAATCTACTTCCGTAGTGATACTGCCTGGCAACCCAAGGAGGGGTCGCTATGAGTCGGGTTCGACTCGATGCACAGAACATCATCATCATCATGACGTTTTTATACATGGATTATTCAAAATCATGTTGTATAAACTTTGCAGTGTTTCTCTGAGATTTTTTTTAAGTACATTAAAAACTTCCCAACCTCCTCCCCTCAATCTCACAATCTCTGAATCCTATAGTCTTTCCACAGCCTGCAAATCCTCCTGTAAACAATATACCTATTGTTTTTCTATTTTTATTGGAAAAATGCATATTTCCCCACATTTATATTTTAATGTACTCACACTCAGTAGCATGTGAAATTGCCATAGGACAAACAGTGCTAAACAATGCAGTGCTGCCTGTTAGATGCCATAGGTGTTCTGAACAGGGAGACATAAATGTGGGCTCCTATAGCTAGAGCTTCGTGGAAAAGGTGAATAGGATTTAGACAGAAAGGAGGGAAGGCATTCCAGGCAGAGGATAACATAAGTAAAGACAAGAAGGAGTCATGCTACTGTCTCAAGGGCAAGGATGTCATAATCTAACAATTCTAGTTTCTGCTGCAGTTCACCCCCAATTTTTCTTCAAACTCTCCTCAGAGCTGAGCTGAATGAAACAGGTTTTTCTGGCTCACTTGCAATGCAAAAGTCTCAACCAAAATCAACACTGTTTCCATTTAATTTAGCTTTTTGGATGTATTTTATTCTTAAATAACCCTAAGAAAAAGAGAAAAGGTTTATTGTTACTGGTGTACAAACCAATTTTAACAAACCTTGTTCACCACAGCAATTTCACAGAGAACCCAATTCAATTCACTCTGGTACTCAATGACTTCTTGCTTCTTTCCTAAGTCTGCCACTCAGGTGTATCAATGTGCTTTTATAAACTCTAAAGTGCTATTTCACAAAAAAAAAATCTAACTTGGGAGCACTAGCAAGGCACAAGACTGTAACCAATCTGCAACAAATCTGGATTCCAAAGAACTAAGAAGTTAAGGCAAAGACATTTTCAAATGAATTATAAGGCAACAAGAAACAATCATTGTTTGAAAGTAGGATAGACATTTAAGAAAGTAAAAAATAAGAGGGCCCCACAAACATGTAACTTCGGGAGAAAGCCCCAAGTTCCTATTTAAAAAGGAGATTTTGTTCAAGACAGAAAACTAGATACAGATTTCTGGCACATGATATAAAGGAAAGGAGAGAACTGAAATTAATTTCTCAACAAACTTCAAGTAGGAAAAGATTTAGTTTTAAGTTATCTTGTGATTTACGTAACCACACCACTAATAACTACTGTATAACCCTGAAAAACCAAGTTTTAAGGTTTCTATTCTTAAAGTGACTAATTTACTCCCAATAATTTAATAACGCCAACAAAGAGTAATATAGAATAAATAAAAGTTAAATTACGTGTAAAGTGATTAAGGAAACTAAGTAAATCCTTTTGTTCCAAGTCTTTCTTTTGTATAAAACCAAATTCTAACTCACAGCTACCCTTTAGGACAGAGTAGAACTGCTCCATAGGGTCTTCTAAGGCTGAAAATCTTTACAGAAGCAGACTGCCTCATCTTTCTCCCATGGAACGGCTGGTCAATTCAAACCACCAAACTTTTTGGCTAGCAGCCGAATGCTTTAACCACTATGCCACCAGAGTTCCTTTTCTCTTGTATAGGCGTGGGAAATGGGACACACACACTGAAATGCTGACACAGACAAAAACAGATTTTGCAAAAACAATTTTTAAAATATGGATTGTTGTTTAAGCCATACAAAACAATGATGTTTTAGAATTCATTTTACCTTATCATAATAATATTCGTCTCCTCAACTAGATTAAAACCTTTCTGAATGCTGGTTCTTCTCAGTAAAAACATAACTAAATTTGGCTAAATAACCAAAGAAAAGGCAGAATGAAAAAAATTTGTATTTTACCTTACTCAAGATGTAAACAAGTGAATGAAATTTTGTTCTCTTAAGATGAATGAATAAATTTTAGTTCTGTAAAGGTGTCTCTTTCCTGATAATACTGTTTTGTTCCTTAAGAAAATGGTTGAGAAAAAAGTCCAATAGCTACATAATACTATTTTAAAGTGATACATTTCACCTTTGCAGAACACTTTGGAATATTTTAAATTCACTATATATGCCATGCTTTTACTAATCAGATGTTACAAATGTCATTGATAAAATTGTACCTATGATATCATAAGCTGAATTCTGTTCAAATAAACTCTAAGAAACACAACAGTATTTTTTTAAAAAGAATCTCAATTTTAATTGCTTAAAATATTATCAAAAAATGAACTCACCAACAGTTCTAGAAAAAATGTAAGTGACTATTTTTATAAACCTCAGGATTGTTGTTGTTGTTGTGTGCCGTCGAGTCGGCCCCGACTCATAGCGACCCCTCCTTGGGTTTCCGAGGCAGTATCACTACAGAAGTAGGATTGCCCAACCTTCCTTCCGAGGAGTGGCTGGTGGGTTTGAACCGCCAGCCTTCTGGTTAGCAATCAAGTGCTTTTAGCCACTATGCTACCAGAGCTCCTCAGGATAGGGAAGACTAAATTTTGAATGATGGAATCCTTCACTTGTATAATAATGCATTTTGAAAACCAACGACATAAAGTTTAAAGGCAATGTAAAACTGGGAAAAAATATTTGCACATAGTTAACATAAATTAACAGATCCACAAGATAATTCACAAAATAAAAATGGCATACAAAAATGTTAAACCTAAGTAATTTAAAAAATACAGCAAACAAAACAATATTGAGGTATTAATTTTCATCCGCCAGACTTTAAAAGGTCAAAAAAAAAGGTAACATCCATTGCTAGTAAAGGTGGTGTAGAAAAGCAAGATAGTCCTATATACAACTGGTAGGAGTATAAACTGATACAGCCTTTCTAGCAATTATTTTTGACCCAGCAATTCCATTTCTGCCAACTTATATTAACATAATAATCAGATAAATATGTAAGAATTATAATGACTCCAATAAAAAGCCTAAATGCACAACAAAAAATATTACATACAACAGAATACCATGCAGCCACAAACAACTGATGCAGATTCTATATAAACTTGAAAATATGGTCACAAAATTTTCAAAACAAGAGCAGACATGTAAAATTGTGAGAACAGATGATTCTACTTTAAATATAGTCTACAAGGACATCTACTAAAGTGTTATAGTAGCTATCGAGTAGGATTTTCATGTGTTTAAAAAATACAGCTCTGTATTTCTGAATTTTTACGAGTGTGTACTGATCTTATAAACATAAATTGAAAAGACTTTCATTTTAAATAAAAGAGTAAGTCAAACACAGGCCAGGCCTTAAACTTCACTTCTATTAGATGTGATATTCATAAATTACTAAATTTCAGAAAAATCACCTAAACAGAATTTCATACTTACTATTTAAATTGGCCAAAACATTGTAAGGAACAAATGGAAATTTTAACACTGGCATTAATTACCATCTTGGGAGCTCTGGTAGCATATGCCTAAGGCACTTGACTGCTAACCAGAAAGTTGGCGGCTCAAACCCACCAGCCACCCCTCGGAAGGAAGGTTGGGCAACCTACTTCCATAGTGATACCGCCTCGGAAACCTAAGAAGGGGTCACTCTGAGTTGGGGCTGACTCAACGGCATGTAACAACAAACAACAACAATGGGTATCTAAGGACCAGATGCAGAAGCAGATCCACTTGAGAGGTAATGAAGTATAGTGGTTATCGGTTTAGAGTTAAGAAATCAAACCAAAAACTAAACCCACTGCCATGGAGCCTACTCTGAGTCACAGTGACCCTACAAGACAGAGCAGAACTGCCCCATAGGGTTTCCAAGGTTGTAAATCTTTAGGGAAGCAGACTTTCTTATTTTTCTCTTGCAGAGCAGCTGGTGGGTTTGAACCACCAAACTTCTGGTTAGTAGCCAAATGCATTAACCACTGTACCACCAGAGCTCCTTTGGAGTAAGAAACTGGGTGCAATTTCCAGTTTGTGTGCACTTTAAGAGTCTTTCAACCTCTCTGTATTTCACTTATATAACATGTAAGTCTGGAACACAGCAAGTTGTCAGTGTTAGCAGTTAGTATCCATTTTATTAACATAAATGGGCTGGCTGATGTGCAAATCAGCTAACAAGACTAACTCAAAAGTTAACTATGTTACTAGTATATCCTTACTAATTATTTTTCTACTTAAAATCTGCATTTTTGAGAAGTCTATCAAAATCTTTCACTGTGACAAATAATTAGATTAACAATATGCCTTTAGTTTTTCTGAGCAAGCTGAGCTATAAACGTCTATATTCTGAAGTTGTGCAAAAAGGGACTTTAACTATTAAATCTTCTTGGTATAATCTTTGTATTATTAACAAGAAATATATTCATATCTATTCATTTGATGTTTTTTCTTTCCTTTTAATCATACCCTGCTGATACTAACACTGCTATATAAATTCCTTAAGCTGCAAAATTCCTCTGATAATTTATTTGTGATTTTCCTTATAATCAACATAGGGCAAGATTTTGTTTTTCAAATATGATCTCAGAGTCTCAATCTCTTCATTGTTAAAACTTTTCACACACATAATGTGATTACTAATCTGTTTTCAGTTTATTACTGTCATGTTATTTCAGTTTGCCTTGAAATTATAGTCTCACTTTTTACAAACTTATGATTCATTTTTGTTTAAAATGGAATGGCTTAAGCTTATCAACTATTCCTGAACTTCCTATTTTCATATCACTGTCATTCTTAAGTGAAGAATCAAGTTTTTAATCTCTGTGTAGCCAAATCCCATCGCTGGTTTGCAAACAGCCTAAATTCTGATAGGGGTCTGTCTGTTAAAGAACATCTGTTAACACTGTTTTAAAAAATAGAAACTAAGTAATTTCAATTAAAAAAAAAAAAAAGCATTAAGTTGTGAAAATTCAATTTCATGTATTTTGTTTTCTAACCTTTTCTGCCACACTTATACAAACACACATTCAAAATGATCATGCAATGAATAAATTCCCATATTAAGTAGCATGGCATGTAGTATTTTAAAAAATTAGGGTGATGATATTAGCACTCTTTTAAAAAATAGAGTATGTTTCATATGTGCATACCTCCCACCACCTTCTTTACAGTTGGGACAGGTGCACGCTACCCTTCGAAGTCTTTTTCCTTCTTGATGTTGTTGGTCCCCTTCTTCATCTACCACCTGTACTCTTAAGTGTGTTAAATCATTGGTATTCAATGTAGAATCACCACTGAGCTGCCACTCTTCAGGATCAGGTTCCTCTTCCTTGATCCTAATATCTAAAGAAAAAAACAAATAGAGATGAGAAGCAGCCCACTGGCCCAAAAGGACAGCATGAAATTTGAACCTCTCTAAAGTAATGTGAATAATGTGTAGGAGTCAAAAATCATCTGTTTATGAACCATGGAGTCATCACTCTTCATGTGACTTACTCCATTCAAAGTAACTATTTTATTCTACATGTCAGAGATTAAGCCAAAAAGGGAATAAAGACAGCATAACTTACTTTTTAATAGATTCAGTAAAAAAAATAGGTAATGTCTTTTGAGCAAGCTGTTATAAACTGGGAAAAAAAAAAAACAAACTCACTGCTCTCAAGTCAGTCCTGCCTCATACCGACCCCTTCTTGGGTTTCTGAGGCGGTATCACTATGGAGGTAGATTGCTCAACCTTCCTTCTGAGAAGTGGCTGGTGAGTTGAACTGCCAGCCTTCTGGTTAGCAGTCAACTGCCTTAGGCACTAGGCCACCAGAGCCCCTATAAACTGAAAGTAGTATGAAACTTCAATAACAGCTGTTTGTCAATAAATCCAATGGTCAATTCAGAGTGGGACAAAGTCTAATGCCTTAACCTCTCTTTCACAACCTGTTATCAATTGTGCCTATCTGTTGGTACTATATATGAATGCAAATGAAGGCGACACTTAAAACTATTAATCACAAAGTCATACTTTAAAAGTCAACTATTACTAAAATATCTGTAATGGCCACAAAACATCACTGTAGAAGGAAGTACAGAAGTATGAGAGACAGTTTCTATTTTCAAGGAATTCTATTACAAACCAGACTGAAAAACAAAGTAAGTATGCAATGGTGAAGAATAGATAAGGCAAGAAGTTATGTCATTTTCTCAGGAGAGACAAAAATATTTATATATATGTATCGATGATGACAGAAGCAACTGACTTGCCAGCAAGTCAATTTCAGTTCAAAGTGACCCGAAAGGATAGAGTACAACTGTCCCACAGGGTTTCCAAGGCTGTAAATCTTTACGGAAGCAGACTGCCACATCTTTCTCCCACAGAGTGGCTGCTAGGTCAAACTGCCAACTTTCTGGTTAGCAGCCAAAGGGCTCAATCACTGCACCACCAGGGCATCATCATTTTCTAAGTGAAACCAAGAGAATGCGATCAATTATCTTTTTTTTTTTCATTTCGAAAAAGTGATTTAATAAATAAATAAATCATTCTGAATACTGAATATAACCATGCTCGATTAAACAAATTCCCACACATTTTTATTTTGATCAATATGAACTAAAAATCTTAATGAAAACTGATTATTTTAGGTCTACATTTTGGGCAAAATAGCCCATATGCACTACAGAGGAGCTCCTCAAGTCAGCTGAGAACTGAGAAATGACCCTTGGATTTAGTAACAGTGTAGTAATCACTGATGCTCTTGACAACAGAGAAGGAAAGAGAAACACTGCCTAGTTTCAAAAGAATGGAAGATGAATTAGACACAAGAAGTACATAGATGGCTCTTTTACAAGAGTTTTGCTGTGGATGCAAGCATTATAAAACGGCATTACAGTTCCCAGGCTAGCCCCATAAAGACAGATTTAATACATAAGAGTACCTGAAATAGTGCAAACTAGCCATGATATTCAGTAGCAATACGGTAATACATACAAATTTAGGCAGTCTCCAGATTACGAACAAATTCCATTCCTAAATATGCCTTTAAGTCGAATTTATACATTAAACCAGAATAGTGAGGTAAAGTTCGTATCTAACGTTAGTCAAACATTTGTCTTAGTTTTTAATGTACCTCTATGTATAGAAAACATTTAAAAAAAAAAACTTCCAGCTATACTAAAACATCTTTATCAAAATACAACAACATACATAATACAATAACAATGTTTTGATGCACATCACAAAGTAGTGCCATTTGTTATTAAAAAACATTGTATACATTTTGAATTTTTAATAACAGGCTTTACAGGAGTTGGTTCCCATACATTAAGTCAGACATACGTAACCTGGGACTGCCTGTATTGTAGGTTAAATTGTGTTCCCCCAAAAAATAGGCTGAAGTTCTAATCCCCTTTATTCATGAATGTGACTGTATTTGGGGAAACAGTCTTTCTTTGAAGACAGTTTTAGGAGAACATGGAGATATGGGAAAACACACCATGAGATGATGCATGCATAAGCAGCAAACACCAAGGACTACCACCAGCCAGAGCTCTGGTAGCATAGTGCCTAAGGCATTTGACTGCTAACCAGAAGGCTGGTGTTCAAACCCACCAGCCACTCCTCAGAAGGAAGGCTGGGCAATCTACTTCTGTAGTGATACTGCCTCAGAAACCCAAGGAGGGGTCACTATGAGTTGGGGCTGACTCGACGGCACATAATGACAAAGCTCCTGTCTCAAGGCCCTCAGAAGCACAAATATGGCCAACATTTTGATTTGGACTTCTAAGCTCCAGAACTGCAAGAAAATAAACTTCTGTTCTTTAAAGCCACCCACTCTGTAGTACTTCATTATGGCAGCCAAAGGACACTTTATACAATGAATAAATGTACTTAAATTTGACTTTTGGTTCTAGAGAAAATACAGTTTAAATGTAAAACAATTAAGAGACAGAAATAGAAATTCTCAAGGAAATTTGCAGAGATATTGAAGAACTTTACAAACTAACAAAAGTGTTTTTTTTTTTTTTTAATTATATCTACTATTTACCTCAAAATGTATAAATTTCCTTTTCATCTGTCCTGGTATGTCACTGACTGTTATGATTACAGTTGTTTTCAAAGATTGCCAAAAAAACAAGCTTGTGAAAGGCATATATAGAAGAAAGTTATTTTCTGCAAACCTGGCAAGAGCCGAAGGAAAAGAGAAAGAATCTGGGAATTTAAGATGATGAACTATATTTATATACATAATATAGTACAAGGGTAAAATCAGTTTTACTGTATGGCCAAGTGACAAACAAACAACTAACAGCACAAAATAACAAAAACATTGCTTGTCCAGTAACCAGATGCCAACTCCTCATGGCAACCTCATATGTGTTTAGAACTATGTTCCAGAGTTTAGTTTTAAATGGCTGATTTTTCAGAAATAGATCACAAAGTCTTTCTTCTGAGGCACCTCTGTGAGGGCTCAAACTGCCAACCTGCTTACACTCTAAATAGAGTAATACCAAAATAGAATGTCATATAAGCCCAATCTCCTGGGTAGAACAGTAGTGATGGTAAGGGTTTAGAGGAAACCACTTCCCATAAAAACCAAAAATCCAACCTCACTGCCATTAAGTCAACTGCTACTCAAGCAACCCCCTTTGTGTTTCTGAGGCAGTAAATCTTTATGGAAGTAGACTGCCCAGTCTTCCTTCTGCAGAGTGGCTGGGTGGGTCTGAACCACCAGGTTAGCAGTCAAATGCCTTAGGCACTACACCAACAGAGCTCCTTACCCACCACTTCCCATACCCACTACTAATTAGTTCTCTTAGCTCTGGATTGTTGTGGATTACAAAGAGGATGAAGTCAGTTGTTTCCAAACTTTCCTGCTCATGCAATACTGTTAGTAAAGTTCTGAACATGCACCCCATAAATATATGTAATTTTTAAATTAAGCATATACATGTAATACTATTATAATTGGTTATGAAAATATTTATAAAACACAAAAATAATAAAATAAAATTTTAACTGTCGTGTTAATCACAAAATATTTCACAAGAAAATATTTAGGTTAAGACTAGATGTTAACAACAACAGGTAGAAAAGTGTTGCTCTTGGTCTCTCCCTATCTGGAACAAAGAATAGTGAAGAAAATCAAAGACGCAAGGAAACAATTAGGCCAAAGGACTAACTGACCATGCAATCCTCAGCTTCCACAACTCTGAGGCCAGAAGAACTAGATGGTGCCTACCACTATCAATTGAAATGGATCATAATAGAAGGTCTTGGATAGTGTGGGAGAAAAATGTAGAACAAAACTCAAAATCATACAAAAGGCCAAGCTTACTGGTCTGATAGAGACTGGTGGAACACCCAAGACTATGGCCCTATGAGATGCCCTTCAAGCTTGGAACTGAACTCAAACTCATGGCTCAATTCCAGCCAAAGACAGATCTACAAGGTGAATAGTAACACTAGGGAGGTACCACTCCTTATAGCAATCAACCATTCAAGATAAAAAGGGCAGCACTGGCCCAAGGACAAAGTTCAGAGGGCAGGAAGGGTTAGGAAAGGAGGACTGAATATGGGAAGGAAATACAGCAAAGAAGTGGGATGAGTGATGTTACACTGTGGAGACCGCAATCAATGACATGAAAACAAAGTGTGTATGAATTATTGAATGAAAACCTACTTTGCTCTGTAAACCTTTACCCAAATCATAATCCAGTAGCTCTTGTCATTTTTTCCTATTCAACCCATTGTTTCTTTACAAGAATATTAAACCTACTTGCCCACTTTGAAGGTAATTCAGTTAAAAGCAGATCATATAAATCCATTTAGTCCAAGCATAAATGGCAACATGCTAAAAGCAAGCAAAAAGTGAGGACATGAGCAGGCATATTACATATTACAAAAATACAACTGACAGAGTTAATAAAGGCTCCTATAGCAATCTGTATAATCAATATTAATTAATTATTAATAACTCAGGACATGCTGAGATTTCTACTATTAAAATTATAAGAAAATACTAAATGCCTTCCTTCTAAAACTAATTGCTAAGTATTTATCAACAGAGCTAATAGAACATTTAAGATAAATTCTTAACTTGTTTATCAAGAATGGAACATGCACACTTAATTTAAATAACTAACACTAGATAAATATAAATTACAGTATTGTTGGTAAAATGAGAAATTCTCCTTTATCAATAGCGTTATCATTAGGGTTTTGTTCTTATCAAAATCTTTCCTATTCTGTACTTTCAATTTTTTAAAGCACTGATGAAATTACTTCATTTGATTCTAAAAATTTTATTTACATTTTCTCTTTAATCAGTTTCACCTGCCATAAAAATCACCTAAAT